AGTATTTTAAATATATTATTCATTATTATTTTCTTAAAACACTGTTTCTCAATTATTCCGCCTATCACGAACCCGATCCGACAAGCGATTCAAACCCTGCAACGAATCGCGGTTACAGTCATATAACTTTTACTTGGTGTTTGTTGGATAATTTGCTGATAGATATTGAAACAATGCAATAACATTCCATATACGATGAATAGTGATGTAATGTAGTGAACCAGTGATAATTACTTTTAAATTTTTAATAGAATGTTATAATGATTAGTCCAAACAGAAAAAATTAAAAAATTCAAGAAAATCCAAATTAAACAAATCGAATTACTAAATTTTGAAAGAAACTTTTATAAAATACTATTTAAAACAATAGTGTTGTTTCATCAAATGACATGGTTTCCTTGAACGAAATAAAAGTTTTTATTTTCATTATTTTAAAAAATAAAATTTTGTTTAAGAATATAATATTATAATGAAACAAAAAACCACAAAATTAAACAAGTACGAATATTAAATCTAAAGAAAGTGTTTTCTCCGAAGAAACGGTATAAGAAGTATAAGAAATATATAATAAGACAAATTCTAGTACTAATGACTGCCACTAATAAGTACTATTCTAAGTACTATTCTATAAGCACTATTTATATGAAACTGAAATTTATATTTACTGAATTTGAAATACAAGTAACAAAAATAACTAGTAAATAAGTAAAAAATATTATATTATATTCGTAATATTTTTGAAATATTGCTGTAATATTGCTAAAGTAATATTGCAAATTAATACTATATTGTATAAAGTAATATTGCAAAGTAATCTCACAACATTGCAATGCAATATGTAATCTTGCAACGTTGTAGCAATGTTGCTGCAAGCTTCTGTGCTGTACGGGTTTTGACACATTTATTACATCTTAACAGAGGCGAGACCGTCAGTAACGCAATGTTAACAATTTTGCGTAGTAAAACAGTTCCACCTATTTGTTTATATTTATCCCGTATGCAATAACATTGCATTATTTCGAATAAATTGTTCCGCAACATTGCTCTAATGATGCAATCTCTCCGAAAGGAGACATTATAACCTTGCTACAATCATCCTGCAACGTTGCAGCAACATTGCTGCAATATTGCAAACTTGCAATGTAATATTTCTGCAACATTTCTACAAGCATTCGGTGCTGTGTGAGAGAGAGTTAACACACATGTATGTCATATGTTGTTTGTATCTAACTGCACGTGCGCGAATAGAAAGAGGAAACTATACAGCACTGGTTTTCTATCCTTAAACAACAAATTTCCCACCACCATCGCCTTTGCCAACCCTTCCGTCTTCCTGTCTCCTCTTTCCCTCTTTCCCTATGCCAACTACTATATAAAGGAAGACCTCTCAGGAGCAACTCAATATCGGGTCGTTCCTCCCTGATGAAACGGATTGAAATGTTCGCGAAACATCGGAATCATACAAATAAGAATCCACGCGGCTCCAACCCGGAAACTAAATCTAATATGCATGGATATCGCAAAAGTCTAAAATATTATATCACTCATGTTACTGAATTTGGTAGAACATCGCTTATGATGATGGCAACCAAATATCAATTATTCAGAAAAATATGCAGTGCATTCGTTTGTTTGATATGTTAAATCACGCTTGGTTATCTAGATATATTCTGGGATATGAAGTTGAGCATTTTTTGTCTGACGTTCAATTGTCGTGGTTGTCACACATACATTGAAACGAGCTTACATTGGAACAAGTATTGTATTTCGAGAATGAGGATAGGCTTTCCAAACTACGATGTATTATATTCAAGAACGATTTCAAGTTATTTCGTTCGAAAAAAAATCGGGTCAAAGTAATCCAATGTGCGTTCGAAGAGTTAAAATTAAGAACGATTATCGCGAATCTTCCTTATTAGTTATTTATCTTTGAGTAAGAAAATAACAAGATGTAAGAACATACTAAACATATAAATTTATGTGCTACAGAAGTTTAAGATTCTGACGACTCCATGGCGAGACACGCAGCACCAGAGGAACGATTTCTCTTCAGTGGCAAATGGTGCGATTCGACGAAGTTTCATGGCTGAGCAAGATTTAGAAATCACGAAGAATCACGAGTTAACAAAAGAACAGACGGAGGTAATGATTCAACCTAGAGAGAATGTGAAAGGGTGTGATCCACCTCCAGAACCAGTCTAGGACAGTGCGGTTGTGATTTTGCACGGTGCACGGTTCCAAGTGTATCTCTGCTAAGAGCACAATCGCCGAGCAAGGTCCTACGACGACAAATAATATTTAAAATGGACAAGGATACATTTTTTGCACGGATTATACTGGGAAGTACCTACAACATAAACCTTGGGACACCGGCTAGATTGACAAGATTTTCTCTTTGAACACAAGCGAGACTTACAACTTGAAGTTTGCGCATCACATTTTGTTTTATCCCTTCCTCGATTATGATAAAAGCTATCACGTAGGTATTGGAAATCTAGAAAAAAAAGAGGATCTTATCGCTGCAACGCTTTTAGCTTTGCTTTTCCTCGAACAGGCCTAATAGAAACCTCTCATAGTGTAATCCCAGATGTTGTAAATATAGTCACATGCGTTATGTAATACGAATCACTCTCTCTGTCGTACAGTCAGCATCATATACGCCATACCTTCCCCATATTAAAAGTTAAATAATTTTCAGTCTTACACATGTACGTATAAGACAAAAAATCGAATAAATAACACTAGTTATGATGGTAAAATATGTATGATGCAGTGTGTACGATTGCTAACAAATGACGCGTGGCGAAAAATCAATCGATATCGCTTAGTCTAATAAAGATGTTTATCAAATTATTTTGTCAAACGTTCTCAAGCGACGAGAACAGTATGACCTTGGATGATAGCTTTAAATTTATGAGAACCATTTACGTTGAGAATATAGTAGGTAATCATTCACACTATATACATAATCTTTCATGTAATCAATTCGATATTTTGCTAAACTATGTCAACTAAATGAACTTACTTTGGAGTAATTAACAAACTATTATTTAAGCTATTATTTGCGGTAAACTCTTTTCCCACACAAAGAATTCCTAATCATTTCGCGATATTGTGTATGAAACGATTTTCATTATGTAATAGTATTCTTTATTTTGGTTTGATGTGGATCATGTAATTATGCAAGATATTCATTAAAGATATTTTAAAACGGAAGAATTAAAACGTTAGGATATTATATAGAGCAAGAAGTTTGCGTAATTTCAATTAAACAATTGTAACTTACTATTTGTTTCCTGGATCACATTGCCGTCTATAAAATAGAAAGGGAAAGAGAATCGAGTTAATTACGATTATATTTAATCAGGATAGATACTAATGAAGTTCCATCAGTAGTCGATTAAACGCTCTTACGTCTTTCAGATTTTGCAAGTCTGAACGTAAATGCTGTGTAGACTATATGCAAATTAATATAATTATTAGTAAGATATAAAACAATTTATTAGATTATTATTTCTATTATAGTTTTGTAAATATGTTTCTTTGATATATCGCTCCATCTTGTGTTAATTTAATAATGCTGTAGTATAGTTTACTTTTAATGTAGATGTATATGTGTAACTTTTGATTATGACTATTTGCTACGATTTTCTAGTCGTGATATATAAGGTATCCCAAAACTATCGTTTTAAAACAATATTTTAATTGATGAATTTTATTATCCCAAAAAATCTCGAACTGTGTAAATTGAAACAATTTCTTGAATGTCATAATACCGAGACAATATCCTAAAATATAATTTTCATATGTATTTCAACATATACAGTTGTTCCGAGAAGAAACAATTTCGAAAATAAACACACTTAGCGTAATAAATACGCGCGTACGCGCGCGTGTACACGTATACATTCACTCACACATACACGCTTACGGACACACGCGCGCACACACACAGATGTATTATCTGCTTACTTTAGTATACTCTAATGCTGTATTCAAATGAGTAGATGTTAATGCGCTGGGTTGTGTAACAACAGAATTTCAATATTTTAGTAAATTGTATTTCGTAGGATTGGCTTAATATTCAGATATCAGTATTTTGTTTTTGAAGAAAATTATTACACTTCTTAAATTTTAGTACATTTTTTAGTGACAATACATGTACCACCCAGAGACCTAACAACATTTATTCACATTTTATTATTTTTTTCATAGAATTTAAATGATTTATTTAGTAAATTTAGTATTTTTATATTTCTTAAACATCATGGGAGTTACAAAAAATAAAGAATCTTACTTATTGTTAATAATATGATTATTATAAATAAATAAAATGGTAAAAATGGTCGTTACGATTTTTTTACGATTAAATTCAATTTAACCAAAACTATAAAAATGTATGAGTTGTGCATTTGTACATATAAGGTTTTGGGGTCACTGATTTCAAATGTGAGGTTAGTTTTGTCAAATTCAAGATGACGGATTTAATATGGTGAGCAAAAACAACTTTTCTTTTCATTAAATTGAGTTGCTTAGAGTTTTTTTAAGGTCAAAACCAATCTTGTACAGCAAGCCTGGGCCACAAACTCCTCGCGTGCTTCGGGAGCGCTCCCGTGCACAGGTCTGTTGTATAGTATTGTACGTTCTACATATTGAATCTACCATTTTAAATTTTGAAATTTTGAGTTTATATTCGTAATCAGCGACCTCAAAAACCCCCCGAGTGTCAAGTTTTATCCTAATCAAGTTATAATTCACATTTTGTTACGCCATATTGAATCCGCCATTTTAAATTTCGAAATTTTGAGTTCAGATTCGTAATCAGCGACCCCAAAAACTCCCAAAAGTAACAAGTTTCAAATGAATCGTGTGTAAGGAAAAATTCGTGACACAAAGAGTTAATTGATGTACTCTGAAGCTTATTTAAAATTAAAAATCCTAATGCAAAGAGATATTAAGATCATAATAATTTTAAGTTACAAGCAACTAAAGTTTATTAGTAATATTGTATATATTTCACGTGCTTCGATTCGTAACTATGCGTACACCGTAGCGTACGTGTACCAATTTGTTATCTGTTATGAATTTTCGTAGATTAGCTAATATTAATTTTCATGATCCAAAAATAATTTTTTGTTTTTTCTTTTTTTAAGGAATATATTCACCAAGTATGTATATTCAGAGCGTCTAAGGAGCATATTTTCAATGACTCTCTCTCATGAAATAATCGTTTATCACGAACAAAATTACTTTTTTCATATTTATTTTACTATCTAAATAATAAATATTAATTTGAAATTAATTTCATGATACACTACCTTACCAACATTTTATTTACAAAAGAAGTTTAGACCCGTCGGATCACTATTTTTGCCAAACGGTTACAAGAATGTATATAGTATTGGTATAAAAGTACCAAATCTACCCAAATGGCACACCTTTCAAGCGTTTTCGAGAAATCGTAGTTTGAAGTTTAGCATTCTCCTTTAGTATCGCTGCAGTAGAAATCCATCAGGTAAAGACTATGGCATAGTGACCTAGGTGCCACGCTACAAGTCTGCAGATTGCATGTTCACGACTGTTACTTTTTTCGCATAGTTCTTTTACTATTACAAATAAAAATATGTAGAATATATAATGATACGTAAACAAATATTTTTAATCTTATAATCAGAATTTTTTCTATTTGTTGTGAATAAAAATTAATAGTATTAATATAATAAATAAATAAATAAATATATGTGTATGTGTTCATCTAAAACGGCGAGATATTTATGATACAAAGAAATAAATTACATACAAGTACATATTTTTATTATTTTATGTATGTATAGGTTCACAAAAAGGGCTAGGTATAATAAATGCGATTATTCGTCGTCTTGCTCTGTAATATTACACACTTGCGATGATAACAATCGAAGAAGCAGATAAAGCATGGAACTAACTTGCAGCAAGCACACTGTATGAATCATACTTTTGTGCAACACATTTTATTTATAGTAAGGTGAAAGGAAAATATATCTTGTTGTTATTTAAAAAATTCGACCAGTCGCTGGTCAGTTTTGACAGTAACTACGCGTATAGTATTATCAATTTGAATACCGGGACACTTAACTAATATAATATTAATAAGTGAATTTTAATAGTATCTTCTCAAGATAATAGTTCCCTCTCCTCTTGCAGCAATGTAGATGTATTCTACAAGCGCATTTCAGGAAGTTTTTTATCTCACAACAGAAATATTGCAGGACTGGCACAATAATATGCATTCCGATATAACTTTTAACATACACGTCGCTTCTCCGTTATCGCTTTTAAAAATTTCGTCGTACAAGACAGAATTGGTTTGTCTTCCCCAAGAACTAACAATTAATACAATTTTATTTTTTTTTTGTACGTATATAGTATAATATAATAGTTTAAAAAAATTTTTTTAACTTTTTTTAAACTAAACACTTTTTTATACACCCAGTCAATTTATCTATGATTTTATAGATTAAAGGGCCAAATTTTTCCGAATGGTCCTGTATGTACAGATATACAAGCGGAATTTTTATTCACAACAAAGAAAGAAAAAAAAGTCCGACTATCCAGGGTATTTCAGACTACCATTATCAAATTTTGCAAGAACGTAGAACGGGTTTAGGGTGAGCAAGAAAATCCCGTGCCATTTTGTGACATTCGCAATAGTTTTTGAGAAATTAATTGTAAAAAATTGCGTAAAAAAGGGAGAAGCGCTTGAGTCGCTGAAGTCGCTCGAGTCCTACTGTTTCTTGACTAACTAAATGGCGCTAGGCCTCGAGCGACTTCAGCGACTCAAGCGCCCTCCATTTTTCATGCAATTTTTTACAATTAATTTCTCGAAAACTATTGCGAATATTGTAAAACGGCACGGGACTTTCTTGCTTATCTTAATATATGTTATATGTTCTCGCAAAGTTTGATCATGGTGATCTGGGACACACTATAAAGGATTCACGTATTGTTATACAAGGTGCCTCGCATAAAACATCCAACAAGGAAAATATAAGTAGAACAGATAAAAATGAACAAATATCGTAGAGATCATTTTTCAAACAATCACGTAAAATTTCGAGATGTTAATTAAAATCGTCGTTATATTAATTAAAATCGGGATATTAATTAAAAATCGACGTCTTATGCAGGACACCCTGTATATTCTACATATTTTTATGTAATAG